TAGGTAATTTTAAATATAAATATAAATATAAATATATAATATTCAATTTATATATTTTAATACTATTACTCATATGTTATATTGTTATCTCAAATTATATTAAATAAATAACTTCAATACCCCATAATGGAGTTCAGATAATTAGATTAAAATATTTAGTATTTATACCTATAGGTGTGTATATTGTATACACTATACAGCATAGTTGTAATATTAACAGCGGCCGTGTTGATATACGTATTTTATTTTATAATTTTAAGCTACATTTAGGTAGAATTAATCACTAAGGTTTAATCCAATACTAGGAACCCACAATAATTAAACATGTAATTCGGATTTAGTATCTTTTCATTGTATCTATATAATTGTCATTACACAAACAGCCAAAAGGATAATATATTAATCCTCTGTCATCAGATGGACTTTAGTAGAGGATTTGAAACATTTTTAAAATTATATTTAATATAGACTCGAATGGGAAATATTTCTATTTAGCAGAAAAGTACTTCATAACAATTAAAACGAAATATATTATTATTTATAATAATAAAAGATAATATTTTATTAATTTAATGAATTCGACAAGTTCAATAAGTAAATAGTGGAGTACACCGTTTACACAGTTTACATAGTTTTGATTTTAATAAAATTAAAAATAAATATTATACATAAGAATTATTCCAATATTCGTAATAAATACAATGTACCGTTTTAATAATGTCGTTAAAGCTATCAAGAATAAATAAGAGTTATAAAAAATCATTTCATGGATAGATATATAAGTTTAATTTAATTCGATTACGGTACCATGATATAATTTATTAGGTACTTTATTTTATTTTTGATATCAACAGACTTAAACTATTTAGTATTTGCTAAAGTTATACTTTTTAGTTAAATTTGTAGTGCAGTTATGAAAGTCAATTAATATTTCAGTTTTAAAATTTGTTAAAAAATACTCACATTTTAAATACCTAGTTAATTTTATGATCACCTGATCACCTGATGCTATAATAAGTAATATAAAGCTAAAAAAAATACATATTTTTTCTAAATTTTAATCTTATATAAGTATGAACCCCTACCAATCTCAACTAAAAAAATATTAGTCTATACAATTATAAGTATAAATATTAGACATGATTGTCAAATGTCTGTTTTAGATACATTTGTAATTAATGTAAGTAATACGCACAACAGACAATCATTTGAGGTTTCAGACGTAATGATGCCAATTACCAAGAACGATTTACCATATTCTATAAAATAATATTTTTTTTTTCATCGAAATAAGAAACTACACTCTTCGAAAATTAATACATGGGTACATATTATAATCTTATTTAATAAATAGGTTCTGTAAATGTATTTTAAAATTAAAAAACTACCATTACTTGTAACACGATACATAACTAAATTATTTAGGTCGATATTAAGGGTTGTTGTACAGTAAATTTCTGACAAAACTGTCAAATAACTTTGTTATAGACGTTRTTGAAAATAGTAACTTGTGAACAGCAAATCGCTTTAATCATAGTAGGCAAAACTTTTCATTACCTGCAACTTCAACCTTATTTCAAATGATAACTATATACTAAGTTTATTTGGTTAAATTCAACAATTTTAATTTTACAGTATATTAACCCTCTTGTATGATATTGAAATTGTATGTTTCATAATATTAATACTTTAAAAAAAAATATGTTTCATAATTTAATTATTTGTTCATTAGTTTTTCGATTAGTTTTTGTCAACTTTTTTATTTCAATTAAAACAGAAAGTTCATGATTGCTTTTATATCAAAATAATATTCAACCATAAGTTATTAATTATAACACAATTAGTATTATAAATTTTGGCTTAATATTATTTCGCTATAATTTAATATTTCGGTAGTAGGTAAAGAATAATAATATGTAGTATAATATAGAACATATAGTTAATAATATTGTATTTTACTAGTTTTAGTGATTGCTTTATTAAATTATTTGAGTAGCTATAATTTTAGTGACACTGATTTCCATAATTTTATGACAAAGTATTAGCCATCATGTATACCTACCTAATATTATAAATTAAAGTTTCATTATAAAGGAATTATCAACATCTTACTTACATATTTTTTAAATCATTTCAAAATTAGTTTTAATTATTTAATTTCAATAAGTTAATAAGACAAAAGTTATTTTAATATTAAATAAAAATGAAAACAAATCTACTTCTTTTAATTAAATACCTATAAAGATTATACTGGGAAGTGAGTTACGTATAAGGAATTTATAGATACCTACTATAAAACATAATAGGTATAATATAAATATTTACAAAGGGTTTCTTCTATATTTTACTATAAAGATCATTATTGATGATTTGAAAAACATATTGTTGAAATACTTATAACTCGATTTGGCATATCATTGTAAAAAAAATCCTTTGAGAACATATTATGATAATGCGTTTTCTCTATACGTTTCTTGATGATACAGTCTAATGTTATCACGAATTTCACATATTTCGCAGCAGCAAAATATCAAAAATCAATTTTCCCATATTACTCTAAAGTCCTGCGGTTTACATATAAAAAGTTACAACGCATTTTGTTATAGAATTTTCTAATCTAACAACTGCGTTATAATGTGTAAGTATCAAACACTTTGTTCCGTAAGGACTTAGGTACTAATTTAAAGCGGCGAGGTAATGAAAATTTCACTCCTTACATTTTATATAAAAAAAATCGTTGTAATAAATACAACTGACTATATGTTCAATAAACACATTATGTTATTTTAACAAGTACATTTTTCTCGTACACTTTATATTTTTCTATCAGTTAGATCTCTTGGCGATGTTTGCTACCACCTATGTATTATTATTTATTAGGTATTAAATGATAAAAAATAATGACAATAGAGTTCTATTAGATTTAATTTTAACCTTCTAAAACATAAAAGGGTTAAAAAATTTAAGAATTAAAACATTATTTTATTTTAAATTTTAAATCTTAATAAGTATCGCAGTTAATGGTCAAGAAATGTATTCATAATAATTATGATATGCATTTTTCTAGTTTTGCAACAATATATAACAAACATTTTACCATTTTAAAAATTAAAAACCAAATACCGTGTAATATTAAACAATCTGCTGTAAACACTTATTGGTGTAATGTGGTGAATAGGTATTGTAGTGGAATGGGATGATTCGTATGTGCAATTTATTGTAATGCCAAATATTTATAACTCATATTGTACCCTTAATGGCGTAATAACATATTAACATGTATAGTAGGTATAATTTATTAAAATAGTTGCTTAATTTTTTCAATATTTAAGACTTTAAGTACCACAAGTAAGTATATATAGGTAGTATAATAAAACAACTATTGATTATATTTACTTGAATTTTCTAAATTTAAATTATGCTGATATGAAACAGTATTAAAAACGTAAATGCCTAATAAAATGAAGAATTTGAGTTTTATAACTGCATATGAAATACTAATAACACAGTTGGCTATTGGAATATCGTTCAACCAATGGCCCGGTTCCAAAGTAGCGTCTATGATTGTTATAAAATACATTAACAGATTTATCGAGTAATAAAATCAATACACACACACATACAAACTATTTGTTAATATATATGTAACACATTTCCAGACTTCAGATATAGTACCTAATGAATGTCTATGATTTACGTAAGACAATTATGTTATAAAAAACCAAAATAATTTTTATGATTTAAATTTAAAACTTTGTTTGATTTTGAACTAAAATGTTTAAGAATAATTCAGTTACGTTTGTTAGTTTTAATAAATAAATAAATTTTATCATTTGTATATTKTAATGAGTTGTAACTTGTTTATTATTATTGTCACATACTATGGTAACATGATGGTATTGTATTAAATTTTAGATTTTTACATCGATTTTTTGAAACAAAATAAATTGCGCTTAAAATCTAAATAAAAGGTATACATTTGTATACATTTGTATATTTATTGTTATAAATATTAATATAAATCTATAATGTCATTAGTTGAGCAACAGCACCTAACCGCATAATATTATACACAAGCTAATCTGATGTGAATGGATTTATTTCGTTTGTATTTAGCTCGGTATTTAGATAGGTAGTGGAAAGAGTTTTAGGTTCCTATAATTCTGGAAAACAATCTATATGGTACGTACAAAAAAAAAAAAAAACCGGATGAACGTATAACATAATCATATACGAGCTGGAAAACAACAGGAATAGTCATCGTAAGGCGAACAGTTGATTTTCAGGATGTGATTGAAAATCGTAGACACATGTGTATAACCCTCTTCAACTGGTGAGGGCCGGCATTCGTATAAAAATCTAAACAACAAATCGTACTCGAGAACAAGTCTCAGTAATACACCTTAAAGGGGATTTAAATGATGTTGGATAGGTACCTAGCTTATAGACTCACCTGCTGTTTTCCATGTAAAGCTTTTTTACTTGTTTAGGCGTTGAAACGAACAAAAAGCTAGAAAACTGCAGCTTAGTAAAAGGTGGAGTACATTTTTGAGATAAAAAAATTTGTAAAAATTTGTTGAACTTTTGGCTAAACAATATTGTATATAAATGTCACTTCGGATAGCAGTTTTTTGACGATTAATAATTAAATTAACAAAAAAACCGTTGTCAAACCGTAAATCTTTTTAACCGTCTAAACATCAGGCACTTCGAACGTGCATTTAGACTACATATAGTTACGTTCATATTAATGCGTCCGTTTATCATTTCAGACGGGATAATATATAATATTTTAATTTTATTATTATCGAAGTTAATTATCACAAAACTATTATGCGTTCTCTTCGAATTTCACTGTTTAACTGTAAAACGTAGTTTATCGCACGGAATAGCACATGGTATAATTATAATTTATTCAGAGTCGGTTTGGAATTGATCCCATGCACACGGTAATGTATATTATGCGCGTACCGCTGACTGAACTGATTAAATGCGCTTACCCCAATGTGGTCATTGTGACGATGGTGTACCAGAAGGCGGCCGGGATGGACGTGAAGTTCGTGCCGTCCACGTTCTTTTCGGCGTAAAACATAACGGTGGCAAATATGATGATGGCCATGGCCAGGGAGAACACCAAGAACCCGAGTTCGGAAGCGCACGACTTGAGCGTGTAGCCGAGTATGCGGAGTCCCTGCGAGTGCCGGGAGAACTTGAATATCCGGAACACCCGGAACACGCGGAGCGTGACGAAAGCGCCGGACACGTCGTCGTTGTCTGTGATGCCCAGGCCGATGTAATAGGGCAAGATGGCCACCACGTCGATGATGCTCATGACGCTGCGCATGAACTTACACCGGTCCGGGGCGGCGAACAACCGCAACAGATACTCGGTGGTGAATATCATCACGCAGGCCGTGTCCAGGCAGAAGAACACGATCTTGTAGCGTTCGCCGCACGGCAGTGTGCCCACTCGACCCGGCCGGTGGCCGCACGGCACCGTCTCCACCACGTTGGCCATGACGGACACGGCGATAAAGAAACCGGTGACGTAGTAGAAGACGAGCGCCGCGGTGGACGTGTGTGGGTTGCCGAATGCCCGCCACATCTTCTGCCGGATGTTGGTGAGCTGTGGCAGGTTCTGGTCGCCATTCTCCGACAGCTTGTCGTCCATCAGCCGCTCGGCGTTCTCACGCTTCCGGTCCCGGTAGTCCTCGTAGCAGCAGTCGCCGATGACGTCTGGCAATATGCCGAAGAACGCCAGCTCCTCGTCATAGCTGGTCAGGCACTCGTGCTTCGGGTAGTGCAGCTTGCCGGTACGGTAATAGTTGAGTATGTGACGGAATATGTCCGGGTCCCGGTCGAAGAAGTACTCCTTGCAGTCTTCGTCGTAAAAGAACTCCCGTTCGTTGGACCCGAGCAACGTGTCCGGGTACTTTTCCACCGTGTTCCGCCATGTCTCGAACCGGCGCCCCGAGACGTTGATCAGTAGTTTCTCGTCGTCTATTCTCCGCCGGTCTTTGGGCACCGGCGGCGGCGGCAATGGGTGCGTGGCGATCGGCACCCAACCGATGGCCGCCGCCCGGGCGAACGGCAGCCAAGCGGCGACCGAGGCCATGCTGTACGGTGGAATGACAGTATCACCGGCGGCGCCGCCGGTCCAGTTGTTCTCGTATAAATAGCATACTCACGCGTCGCTGTACACGCCGCCGCAGTCGCCACTATTGTACTGTCGTAGTGGTCTTTGATCGTCGGCACCGAAACGTGTCGTCGTCGTCTCCCCCCGAACGATCGGGATCAAGACGACAGCGAAATTATATAATATTAAGTTCGACGACGGTACTGCGATGCCGTGTCGACGGCGAATCAAGCCTACTAGATTTACATAGGTTTTTTTCTTATATAAATATATGTATTTTTTTTTTAATTATTCAATTTTTGTATTATATTTCCTTTTTAGTTTTACGCGTGTAATCGAAAATCACGACCGTTCACGCCGTGACGCTCACTTCCTCGGTGTAATTTTAGTAATTTTACTACTACTACTACTACTACTATATTATTACTACTACTACTGGTATCATTATTGTATTTGCTTCTATTATATACATCGGTGACCGAGCGCTTACACGCACAACCCTCTCACGCGTACGCGATGCTCCCGATCGTATACTTTACTCGCGCTCACTCACACACACACACACACACGCGTACATACATACAGTAGCCACCAGTACAGTCGCGAACGCGTGCTATCGCGGATTTTGGCGGAAGCGACCACACCAGACACCCGGCCGACTCGCGACAAGCAGCTACACTGACGGATGACTGTGCCAGGCGGTGACTCGGCGAACTGCAGCCAGTATAGCACCGCGGTGGCGGCGGCGGTTTTCGCTCGGTCGAGTGTTTTATTTTGTTTTGTTTTTTTATTTTTATTTTTATCAAAACGCCGCCGTCGTCATCGTGCTCCGTCGCCGTTGCCGCCGACGCCGTCACTGTACCCTGTCGCTATGTAGTTTATTTTGTATATACAGTGTATGCTATACAGTTGCAGCGCGTACAACTGATGACCCGAGCGCAAGCGCTCGTGGCCCGCTCGCGATCGATTCGCGTTGTATCCGTGGAGCGCGCCCCCCCCGTTCAGGCGTTTCGTTTTCCCGGCACGGTCTCGCCCGACACACGCTATATGCCGCCGCGGCCAGCGCGCGGGTGCGACAATCGCCGTATACCGGAGCTCGCCAACTCGCATCGGTCGGTCGGTCGGTCGTCGGCTAGCTCACCGGCTAGCTCACTGTAGAAGAGCGCCGCACGCACAAGTGGCTGGCTGCAGTACACGCCTTGCAAACTATTTTACATAATATTACATTGCTCACAATATATATATTCGCACACGCATATGAGGCGATTATGCGATATAGAGTGAGGCGGCCCGTCAAGGCCGCGTACGCGCGATCGGCGGCAAGCGCGTTTCCCAGGCAACGCACCGCCACCGCCGTTACCGTGACGTGCAGCGCGCGTGTATACTCGGTTGTAAAACGCACACGCACGCGCTCGCAGTAGCAACGGCGTGTATTATTATTATACGGCGGTGCTCATCGCCGCGCACACTTCGCGCGTACGACGTGCCGTACAAACGTATATTATAATATTACTATATTAAACGCGCGTGTGCGTAAGACCGCGCACACGCGTATCGCACGCCGCGATAACCGGAGAAGTTGCGGTYGTTTCTTCAACGGCTGAAAACGCGACGTCACACAGAACTCCTCTGCTCAGCGCAAACGACCCGCGCCGCCGCGTGCCATCGTGTGCGGCGATATAATATTAATTTATCGCGACCAGTATTGTAATGTTGTCGTGGTGCGGCACCGTGGAGGGCGCATTTAATTCGTCAGGAGTCACCGCGCCGAACGACGGGCGGGTGGCGTTATTTACGACTGTAAAAGTCGGATCGGCGCGCGCGGTCGTCGTCATCGTTATCGCTATTATTACTATTTACGGGGTGGCTTATTGTACGGTAGTGCGTTTTATTTATTAGCATTGGTCGTATAATAAATATTATGTGTATACTCACAACCCATAATACCTATACTGCAGCTGCAGCTATACAACCGCACGCCACCCACACGGCGAACGACAGTAAACAGTAAAGCGCGTTAGCCGCACTGCGGCTGTATATGTATCTGTACGCCGATATAATATGTCGTTACGGCCAGTTAGTATAGTCCTCAACTTTCACCAACCCGTTTCCCTCACGAATCATCATCCATCTCACACGCCACCTCCCCCAACCAATGCTTCCGCCGACGGTGATTGCCCGCTCCTCACCACAGATTTTGTCGTTCATTACGATCACGCAGACGTGTCATACATTAGCGGTGAGTGCTAACCATRCGACACGTCGGTATCGTCGTCGYCGCCGCAGCACGTTCGGCACATAACCACACAACAATAATATTATTGATACTAGGTATTATTATTACCTATGTGATCCGCGGTAACTACAATTTTGGTCAAAGTTACTAATGTTTCGGTGTCTAAATGTAGAAAAATATTAAGTGCTTTTTGAATCAAATTGTCGAATGAAAAATACTGCATGTCCAAATAATACTAATCCATTAAAATATGAAAAAAAAATAAATTTAAGTACTGAAAATATTATTTCATAACCGGAAGCAAATTATATAAGCAGTAAATTCAGAGTGAAATTACAGTAATATAGTAGGTTGATTTTTCTAATACCCATCACTCATTGTAGGCCTAGACGGTGTACCTACTTGTCSTTYTTATATGGTATAAATGTTGGTAAAATATATTGGTACTATAATGTGTTATGTGTACATGCTCTCGTTAGCGAAATGCGCTGGACTGTTTTCCGTAATCCGCGCGTACCACTGAGCGTCGTCTTCCGGTCGATTGTCAGATCGTCACGCGGTAATACGGACAAATCTACTAGTTTTAAGACATTCAAACACGTTTTATTACGTTTATTATCGTATGATGTCGTTTTTGCGTAACTTTTCGATAACGTCCACAGGAGCGGATCGAGATAGAGCTTCTGCCCGAAATATTGTACACTTGATATTTATATATGTTATATATAATTATTTTTAGGTACGTACGCATATATTTTTAACGTCTTTGTATCATGTTCATTTAAAATGTGTTCCACGGTTGTTAAGTGTTAAGCACGTAAGTGTTTTTAAATATTGATGCTGCGGTGTGGTGTTGACTGTTGAGTGTGTGTGTGTGTGTTTTAAGCTTAAGACCGTACAAGTGTTAAGAGCATAATATATACCTCATATTATTATTAGCGATGACGAGGCAAGTTTTCGTCTTTCGTGGCACCACGAGATGTTCAAAATTCCAAGTTTTTACAAACCATATTTTGTTTTAATTTTTACCGATGATTTTACCAGTGATCAGTAAAAACCCGTAAACTTAGTTAATAGGTCTATGTAAAAAAAAAAAAACAGATAATAAACGACACTGCATAAAACGAAAAGGTAAAAAACATCATATGTATTTTACTCAAAAGTCACAAATATTGGTGGCTAATTGTAAGCTGTTAAAAGCTGTTAACCCGTGACCAAATAATTGCAGTCATATATGTATACATATTGGAAAGGCGCGCACGGGATTTAGTTGGAGAGGTGGGGCTGGTTAATTATAATTATTTTTAAATATTAATTGTATTTATTTTTAAATATAATCATATAGAAATCAGAAATCATGCTTTTTGCAGAAATAAATTTTACATTCATATTAATTTTTGCACTTTGGGTTTTGATTTAGTCACGGTGATGCTATATTAAATAAGTAGGATTCTAAATTTGAAATATTTCACTTGAAAAAAGTATGGTCACCCTAATTTAAACTATAAACAGTCAATTAATCAATAAAAGTAGTCAATTTCCATTTTTCTTCATTTACAAAGTAGGTACAGACTGCATTATAATAAAATGGTATCGATCTTGAAAACATTACTTATATGGCCCATTCATTGAAGAAAAACTGTAAAAAAAGTTTCTAATCATTATAGGCCATAACAAACTTTTTAATTTCGCATTACACACTTGGAACTTTTTAATGAACAAATTGTGTCGCATTACACATAATTTTAGTTCCTGAGTACATAGTTTTGACAAGCAACGTCGCGATAATGATAATAATATAGAACAGAGATTTTTCACGATTCGTAGGATGCCAGGTATAAATATAATATWATTAAACTTCTATAGCTGAAAATTTTTTTATACCATATAAAGTTTGATTTTCAGAGGCTTAAGCCCGCTAGCCCCCTTTTTGGCCCTTGGTTGCACCCATTAATTATAATTTAGAATAAAATACAAATATATTATATATATTATATATATACCAAAGTTAGCAGACTTAAAAACTATAAGTGTGTTAAATTAACCTATTGGGTATAAGCATAGACCTTATAAGGTCTATGGGTATAAGAGAGGTTTGATTTACGACTTTGGATGATGTGATATAAGATTATAGATAATACAAACTATAATATACTGCTTTAGTGTTTCCATATATTTTATGTGGAACGTTATGTGTCAGTTGAATCTCGAACAATAACTTTTTGTGAGGAAAATTTAGAAATTATTAAATTTCACAAAGGTGGGTGTACAATTTTTTGAAGGGGATATAGATATATTATGAAACATCAATCGTTTTAACAGCTACAGCGTGTAAATTTGAAATTTTGTACATTGTTGTATCCCAATAAAAACTACCAGCGATAACAAACAATTTGATCTAGACATCTAATTTTGAGTGTATAGAAAAATATTTTTCTTAGTTAGTATGATCTCACATTTTTTTTTTCTTAACATAACTTTTGTATTTTTCTTTTAAGCAGAAACACATTTAATGCCCGGTAAATTGTTATCTATTGCAAACGTGCTTATTAATTAAATTTWATTTAATTTAAAAAACTAATAATATTTTAGTAATAAACTACGAAAATGTAAACTTTTGTTCAAATATTGATACATATTTGATTTTTTGGTTTACTAAAAAGTATGTGTTTACTAACTTCCAAGAGTAATTAATTGTTCCCTATAGATATTTCGTATGATTTATATTTACTTATTGAATGTTGATGTACATTTTTATATTAAATTTTAAATTTTAAAATTTTTTTCGTCCMTTCCATTACATATAATTCACCTATATTGATGCACAGTTTAACCTAGAAATAAATGGTATTGTATCGCATAAAAACATCTGCAGCTCCGTTGAAAGGAAACAAATGCATGGCCGTACGAGTAAATAACGGCGAAGGTCATCACAGTTCATGAAAATATTTCTTTAAATGGAAGATTTTCAATACCTAAATATAATATTATGATATGCATATAAAAAAAAATGTATTCTGTAGAAAACTAGTGTAGTACAGTTTTAGCATGTCGCRGTGAGTCGTGACATGGTTGTAAACAAAATCCCATTTATAGCGTAAATATATGTATATAAATATATGCATAATATATATTATATTAGGGACATAAAGGGTTAGTATTTGTAGTTTAAAAGTTAAGTTAGAGCGGACATTGGATTTAAAATGATTGCCTCTAAAAATGTCTGAATTCCCCATCAGAATCTACATAGAGCCATAGAGGTATACTTATTGCATACGAAATCGTATATACRAGTATTATTATACCGTCCCGATAGCCGAAACTTTTTTTTATATCTATTTCCCGTCGAGTATGTGTGGACGTGTGGTATTAGGAAGTTAACTTTATAGGTTGTCTCGATGTTTTATCATTTATACCTACTAGCTTTCAGGTCGGTGACATTCTGGTGCATTTTTGTATGTATAAAATGTGTAAAGTCAAATGTTGTGTTTAAGTGTCTCGTTATTAGTC